CTCTGCCCCCAGGCAGTCCCCAGGCCGCGGAACTCACAAAAGCCGGAGTGGCCCGCACGACTCGGAAGGTAACAAGTCTCCAGGCTCGCCGAGGCACGGCCGGAAGAGAGCGCGCCGGCGCCGACGTCACTTCCGCTCGCGCTCGGCCGGGGGCGGGGCCGGGCCGGGAAGCCGGCGCTCCTGGCAAGAGTTCTAGTCTCCTGCGGCAGTGTTCTTCGCCCGCTCGCAGCGGGGCTGGTGGTCAAAAAGGGGCACAACTGAGGTTGGCGGGGCTCCGAGCTGCTAGGAGTCGTGGCGTGGGGGCTGGGTTGGAGGTGGGGTCGGGCCTGTTGCGAGGTTTCCATTGCGAGGATCTGCTTGGGGCTTCACGCAGGTTATGCTCAAAATTCGTTCTACCTCCTGCACCCGCTCCGCAGATGATCCCTCGCTCTCAACAATACAATTCATTGGGAGAATGGATGCCACTGTAGCTCCAGAGATGAACACTCTGGGCCCCTGGATGGTGTTGGAATTACTATGAAAAAGTTGGTGGTAGCCACTGTGAATCCTTCCCACAGGTCCCTCCTGCCTCTGCCGTTCCTAGCAGGTTTACAGAAGGGATCGGAGAGGGCTTGGAGGGTTCTCAGTGCTTTTGGCGATCCCTGAAATAACTGGCGAGACTTACGATTTTCCTGTGTATTAGCAGCCCTCTTGCATCTTTCCCGCTGACTGTTCCTTCTGCAGCCAATTCTGCTGAGCCCTGGGCTCCTAAACCGAGGGAGATGAGATCAAGGCTGGATTTACTGTTTCCTCATCTCAGGTCACAGATACTCAGTACCTCTGTGACCGCGAACAGCTTTCAGTGCTATCAAGAGTGAGCCTAGGTCCGAAGGCTCCTCTGATACATTTTAAAGTGTATCAGCTTATGCGCCAAGGACTTTATGTTACAAATTTGTTTTCAGTGTGTAGCAAACTACCCAATAACCCTCAAGCTGAAAATAATGGTTATTATCAAGAGCCACCTGCGGATGACCTTGGCACAGCTCAGTTCTCTTGATTTCTACAGCTCAAAGTGAACCCTAAAACCAACTAACACAAAAATGGGAAACAAAGACTCCGTTTGGGAAATAAAAGAAGTTGTGGCTGTTTATAATGCATTAAAGATGTGCTGGGCTTTGTCAAGGGGTCTAATCTTGATCTCACCACATCTGTTTAGTGGCTCATGTAAGCTGCATTGTACCTAGTGACATTCAGGAGTCTGCACTCAGGAGGTGCAAAGTGGGGAGTCACTGTATGCAAATAGTCCACTTGTGTGAAGAAAAACAGTATTATCAAAGACATTCAAAAATGAAAAGTTTTAGGATAGTAATGGAATATGTAAATTTCAAGCATCAAGATTAAAATCATTTCAGTGAAAATGTAATCAATACAAGAAGGAAGCACAAGATAAAAACAAGGTATCAGATGATTCCAAATTTATTATTACTAATTACATTACACATAATGGACTAAATGTCAAGGTGAAAGAAAAGGATTGTTAGTCAAAAGTTTTCAAGTATTCAGATTTTTTTCATTTCCTGCTTGGATATATATAAAAAGACACATCTGGGCTTAGGGGTGTAGCTCATTGATAAGAGCAGATGCCTAGAGGCCAGAGAAGTACTGCCAGCTCAGTGGCAAGGCGCCTGCCTGATCAGTGTGAGGTCCTGAGATTAATTCCTGGTTAGGAGAAAAAAAAAAAAAAAAAGCCCATATGCCTAACCAAAAAGAAAAAAAGATAAAACCAAGCAAATATGGCCAGATAGGTAACATAATTAAAGGAAAAGAAAGCATAATAGAAGCTTATTTTTTTCAGTACTTGGGATTGAACTCAGGGCCTTGTGACAGGCAAGCACTGTACTAGCAGTTGCATCCCCCGCAGACAGGTTAGACTTTTCAAGACAAATCACAAACCATGCTAGAATACAGCTCAGTGGTACAATACTTGCCCAATAAGAGAAACATCTTGTTCAATCCCAAGGACAGCAAGGGAGGGGAGGTCACAAATCTGAATACTTCTGAGACTAACACAAGAGAAAGAGCACACACAATAATCATTCCAGAATGCAAAAGATGCCCAAAGTAAATTATATAACCAGGAAATGGAAAAAATATAAACTTTGCTCCACATGTGAAAACAAAAACGTACCTAGAAAAATATAATCAAAATGCTTTAAGATACTGCAAGTCATAGTGTTCTATACCCATGAAAGAAATTGAGCAAATTGCTTAAAACTGTAGAAAAAGGATACCTATGGCAGTAAACAATTACTCTAAATCCAGATAATTTAACCTGATAAAGTTATGAAATAAGTAAAACAGGAATACACCCCACTACAGTATATCATATTGACATATATCTACTAAATACCATAACGGCTATTTATTAAAAATTGTTTTGGCGGTGCTTGGGATTGAACACATATGTACTCTACCTAGATACATCCTTAATGCAATTTTTCTACTTCATCTGGTGTTTTTATTTTTTTATGGTACTGGAACTTGAACCCAAGATCTCATGAATGCTTAGGCAAGTGTGCTACCAATGAACTATACCTTTAGTCCCTATTTTGTTCTCCTTATGTAAGAAAAATTACATGTTAATGCTACTCAAATATATCTACAAAAAAATCTCATGTATTAGTAAACATAATCAAGTTAAATATTAAAGACGGTCACACTATATGCTGTGGGGCATGCCGATAATCCCAGCATTCTGGGAAGCTGAGGATCACAAAAAAGGAAGGGAAGGGAAACTCATTCTTAGTCTCCATCATATGAAGACACAATAAAGAGGCAAGCAGTTACATGACAGGAAGACAGCCCTCACAAGAACTCAACCATATTGGTACTTCTGATATTAGACATCCATTCTCCAGAAATGAGATAAAACAAATTTCTGTATATTTCAAGTGTTTATATTAAATCAAAATAAAATTTTAAGTTACTTGTTTTGTGGAATTTTTTATGGCAGCCTAAGCAATTCATGATAGATTTCAGTATTAAAAAATGATGCTGCAGTAAAAAGGAATCCTGAAAATGTGAAAGCAGATCTGGTAACTGGCAAAAGCTGGAAATGCTTTTACATGCACCCAAGAAGTCAGGACATTAAGCTGGGCATGGTGATGCTTGCATGATAACCTTGAACTCAGGAGGCTAAGGCAGGAGGGTTGCCATGAATTGAAGACCAGACTGAACTACATAGCAAGAGCTTACCAAAAAAAAAAATAATAATAATAATAATAAATAATAAAAAAATCAGGATATAAAGTGATATACAGGTGACTGGTCATTTGGGACAGAGGAAGACAAAAAAAGTAAGGTTAACATAGCCCTGTAATTTTAGCCACTTGATAGTTTGAAGTACGAGGACTATAAGTACAAGGCTAGCCGGGGCAATTCATCAAGATTCTTTCTCCAAACAAAAGCTGGGCCTGCTATGCAAGTCTGTAATCCCAGTATTGTAGGACACAGGCTAGAGGATCAAGAGCAGACAAAGCAACTTAGTAATAGTGTATTTCAGAATAAAAATAAAAGGGTAAGAATGTAGCTCAGCATGAAGGCACTGGATTCAATCCAGAGTACTGTAAAATGTTAAAAAAAGAAAATATAGCTAGTGATACTATTCCGTGGTAGGCCACATACCTAGAATAGGTTCAATCCCCAGCATCAAAGTAAAGGGATGGATGGGAGGGAGAGTAGGAGTAGAGTGAGTCTTTTACAGAACTTGCCAGAATACAGCTGTATTCAAGCAATTTGTGACAGATAGAACTGAGGAGTGATATAATTGAAAATTCCTCTGAAGTTTGTAATTAAAGTGTTAAAAGAGGAGCTTGGTTCCACTTGACATATAGTGAAATGTGAAAGTCTGAATCCAACAAAGAACTATTATACTAAAAGGAACCGGAATGTGGAAATTTGAAAAAAAAAAAAAATCACACTACTGATATTGCAAAACTTGGAAAGCTTGGACTGAAAATAAAAAAAAAAAATTACAAAAAGTCTGGTTCAAAAATTATTTGATAAAGAGATTAAGGATGAGACCTATGGTTGGGATATCAGCAATCTCACCTTAACAGAGAACAGACTGGATTACACTAGCAGAGGAATTGCTTAGATCTAAAATAGACCTAGAGAACAAAATAAGCATCTAAAAAGAACAAAATTTTGTTCTTTTTAGATGCTATAAGGAAACACGGGGATAATTGGCTACAAATGTCAACTAGTCATTATGAACAGATATGGATCATTTCCTTCTTGGCATGCTTAGCATGATCAATGAGTGCAAAGGACACGCGGGGGAATGCCTTTCATCAGTCCACCCAGCCTTGTACCAGCTTGGGTTCTGGAGACTTTTCAAATGAATAGCCAGCCATTAACCAAAAAGGGGCAGAGTCAAATCTGTTCTATTATCTCATGCAGGCAGGTCCACCTTACAGATACAGGTTACTTGTGTTATTTCATTTTAGTATTATCATAAAAATACTTTTAAGAGGAAATTTTGTTAAATATACACATTGACTATATCATACACTTAATATGTGCCGCAATCAAAGAGGCCAAGCAAGTCAAAGGTTGGACACCATGCATAGCATTTGTAAATGCTACTGTCACTAGGAGTCCAAGCACCAGTTAAGGTTGACCTGCAGTAGTGACCTCACCATGACCCCCAAAAGTGCTCAGACTCAGCTGTGTGTGAAACAGTTTGAGGAGGTCAGCAACAGCTCAGTAGAAGAGTGCTTGCCTAGTATGTGAGGCCCTGGGTTTCCTCCCCAGCATTACCAAAAAAAAAGTTCCAAAGGAGAACTTATGTCAGATAATCAGGTGGCACCTATGCCAGTGGGAGACATTACAACTCACACAAAGAAGTTAAGACTTATCTGATACTCTTTGGTGCCACTCTTACTACTTAAGAGTGGGAACAAGGGGCATAGCAACACTGATAGTCTCACATTTATAGGCCTTCTCCCCATGGTGAACACTTGCATGTTTGCTTAAGCGTGAGGAAACAGCAAACGCTTTCCCACATTCCTTACAGATGTAAGGTTTCTCTCCAGTATGTGTTCGCATGTGAATGTTAAGCGATGTGGAATATACAAACGCCTTCCCACAGATATTACACACAAAGGGCTTTTCCCCACTGTGAATTTTCATATGTTTAGTACGGTGGGAGGCAGTAATAAAGGTTTTCCCACAATGAATACATTCAAAAGGCTTCTCGCCTGTGTGTGTTCTCACATGGTGGATAAGGCCTGAGGTCCTAGTGAAGGCTTTCCCACACTGCTTACACTGAAAGGGCTTCTCACCACTGTGAATGCGTACATGGGTAGCAAGGCCTGAGTACTGAGTGAAGGCTTTCCCACAGTCCTTGCATTCATAGGGTTTGACTCCAGTGTGTGTCCTGATATGCTCATTAAGCTGAGTGGATCTCGAGAAGGCTTTCCCACATTCCTTACACACAAAGGGCTTCTCTCCACTGTGAACTCCTCGCAAGTGTTCAGTCAGGCCCGACCACCTCAGGAAGGCTTTCCCACATTCCACACATTTGTATGCTTTTATTCCACTGTGAATTTTCCTGTGATCATTAAGGTATGTGTTACTTGTAAAACACTTTCCACACTCTTTACACTGGAAGGGCTTTTCTCCAGTATGAACTTCCATATGAGCAGACAGTTGAGTAAAAGTAGCAAAGCACTTCCCACATTCCTTACATTTTTGGGATTTCTCTCCAGAAGAAATTGTTACATATTGACTGAGGTGTGAGGAAAAGGCAAATGCTCTCCAACATTCCTCACATTCACAGAGTGTTTGTTCAGTGTGGGTTTCCATGGGATTAGTAAGACATGGAAAATACTGAAAGGTTTTTTCATATTCCTCCAATTTGTAGGGATTTTCTCCACTGAAAACTTGAAGATCCATAGCAAGGCTACACCTCCAACCCTAGGAAAATATGAATTTTAAAAACATTATAAATCAATCCATTCTGGTTTAAGTCATCAACATTTGTCCCAGTACCTCAGCTGTAGAGTAGTTACAATGGAGAGTGACAGTCTAGGTCCCTAAAGGTTATCTTTTATAAAGGTAACAACTAAGAAGAGCCTCATTAGATGTGATGAAGGTTTGCAGCACAACCTATAACCACTCTACTCTGCCATCAAATCCCATAAAAACAAGTCAGACGTCTCAGAATTCAAAGTAAGATATTGGTGTATTGTGACACATTTTTACCTCTTAGCCTATTCCTTGTAGATAATCCCGTAACTAAAGCATGTAGACATCAGTATTCAGTCACGTATGTATCAGTTACCTATTCCATTTGAACTACACTCACAGGCTTGTTGCAAAGCAGCCTATGTTTTCTGCACTAATTAAGCCATATTTAATTTTTTTTTTTTTTTTTTTAAGCAAGGTTTTAAAGTAGTGGTAAATGTGCTGCTTGGCAGTTATGTGATTTTGTTTTACAGAGGCTGGTAAACTGAATCCAATAATGGCAGCATCTTTGACCATGACTTGTCTCATTAATACAGAACTAAATACAGTAGTCTCCCATACTCAGTTGCACTTGCCAATGTGTATTATTCATGGTTAACTAGAGTCTAAAAGACTGATTAGAGATGGCTAGAGGTATAACTCAGTAGTAAGGTACTTGCCTAGCATGCACAAGGAACTGAGTTGCATCCTTAGCCCTGAAATGTAAATGGTAACTATAGGATAATAATCTTTGAGAAAGGCCACATTTGCATAAAATAGTATTTATAGAGTTCCATACTATCTGCAATTTTAGCTATCCAATGGCCATGATGGAAAGTATCCCCACAGATAAGGGGAACTACACTATTTCCATTTTTGCCCAGAACCCTTCAGATGGAAGAAGGTACCAAGTACAAGAACCATGAGAATGCTTAGTGACTACTGCACAGAGGAGCATAGTTTCACTAAAGATAACATGGTCTAAGTCAGTGAAGAAAACTGCGTAAGGTCTAGTGCTCTTGACTTGGGGTCCCAACTAAAGGGTGTTTCTGAAAAAATACTTTCAGAATGTGGTACTGTGTTCAACCAAAAGGAAACAGGAATTACGGTAGTAATGGTGTGACATGCAAAGGTGTAATGGTAAACTGGAAGACACAGTATGAGACTATAACAGTGGGTGATCTTCTGAGGAAGTCAGGGAGTAGAGACAGATGCTTCTTGAAGAAAGCATTAATTTTCATTGTTTTTAGTCATATCTACTAGACTTTTAGGGGGGGAGGGTTCACCTTAGCAGAGAACAAAGAATATACTTTGTTCATGGACTAAACAGACTGTGAACTGAGGAAAAAGAGCAAACCATGTGCTCCCAGTACTCAAAAGACTGAGAATATAGGATTACAAGATTGAGGTCAGGCTGACAAATTCGCAAGGTCCTATCTGAAAAGAAAAAGGATGCAGGCCCAGTGATAGAGCACCCTTGAGTGTGATTCCCCAGTAAAAACACATGAGCTGGGCGTGGTGGCACACACCTGTAATTTTAGCACTCAGGAGGCTGAAGCAAGACTGCCACAAGTTTGAGGTCAGACTAGACTACAGGGTTCAAGGCCAGGCTCAACTTCATAGTGAGACCTTGTCCCCTCCATTCTCCCCTCCCCACACACACACAAAGAGGAGCAACTGAAGAAGCAGCTCAGTGGCAAAGTTATATCCTAGTTGGTATGAGGGCCCTGGGTTCAATCCCCAATATTACAAAAGAAAAGAATTAAACTTATATGTATAATCTGTATATTTGAGGAAGCAGTCTATTGTATCACTAGGGAACAGGTTTCAGTGAACAGACTCAGCTGTCATCATCAATAGACTTCATTTCTATCTGTCAGGTCATCAGATGGTATAACCTCACATCCAGTTGCAAGAGTTTAAGAGGGGCTGAACTCACGTGGGATGTGGGACTTAGATCCCTTTCTAAGAAGACATCCACTCACAACGACATGATTATTCATATCACAAATGAATGCAAATATATAGCACAGTGTTACCACAACCGACATTCAACATAGTAGCATGTAGCTGTGTATCAGAAATTTGTTTTAGGTGGAAGACTAGGTTCAAATAAGTCTCTGTCAAATGGATGCCTGCCTATTCAGTGGGATAGCCTATGGTTAACAAGTACTAATGGAGAATGTGCCCACTCTAGCCTCCAGCCCTTATGTGAAGTGGACAAGATGAAAAATTTATAGAAACAGGTTAAGAAGTCATGTGTGGTGGTATATATCTGCAATCCCAGCACTTTAGGAAGCTGAGGCACAAAGACTACAAAGATTAGAGCAGTCTGGGAACTCAGCAACTAAGTGAAATCCTATCTTAAAGAACAAAAAAAAAGCACTAAGGATATAGCTAAGTGTGAAGGCCCCAGTATCACAAAACCAAAATAAAAACAAACTGGTTAAAGATTGGGACAAGATACTATATCTGGGATTTACTTGTTATTGTGGAATTTGAAAACTGAGAAGATAAATATGATTATGAAATAGTTGCCTGGGACCTATCTGAGACATCAAAGTTCCACTGAATGCCTTGTCCAAGGACCCTGTGGTATATTATATCTAAAGTAAAACAGTATACAGTAAGTCTGAAGGGAATGAGGAGTATTCCTTTAAGGCCTTGTAGTGTGTGGTTTGCGCTGGGGTGTTTGCAGGTTTTTTAATTTTTCTTTTAACTCTCCCCATCCTCAGCATTAGCTATTTCACTAAGAGCCTCACACATGCTGGACAAATCCTACCACAGAGCTACAGCCTCGTGCCACATATGCAACTTTGATTCCTATTTTGTGTGCCCCAAGATATCACAGGGGTTTTGGCTGACTTTAATCTTTTTTACCTAAAGAAGAAAATCTTCAGCCTCTGCTCACTAGTTTATAGTGCAGGCAGGGCTGGGGAGATGGCTCAGTGGAACAAGCGCTTCTGTGGCAAGCGCAAGGGCCTGAGTTCGATCCCCAGTTCCACCCAAAAAAAAAAAAAAATTATAAAGATATAGTGCAGGCAAAAATGGGACAACTAGTTGCTCATAGCATCCAATGTTAAAGATGGCCACCTGTCTCAAGTTTGGTCAAGTGTGTTGTTTCCTGCATCCTGCCCTTTATTAGGTGCATCCTGACTAAGAGACAAAAAACAGGAACATGACACTGCGCTTCATCGCCTGTATGATGGTCAGTGGCGATGTCTGACAGGCCACAAACTCTCACTGTCTTTCACAGAGGCAATCCCAAGAAGCTCTTTAGATACCCACAGGGTCTGGGACAGGAGTGACCCCTCCCATACCCTGCTCTGTCAACAGAGGACAGGAAAAGTCACTGCCCTTACAGGTAGAATATACCAGAGGGTCCGGATTTGGTTCCATACTGTGTTAGGATTGCCTTGGTACCCATGTCAAGCTTGTGGGGCATCCTTGATCCCAAGTAAAGTGGGCAGCTGAGTATGGACAGTCGACTCAGACTCAGCATCTACAAAGGCCATTTTCCTGCACAGTCCACTAGGTGGCCACCAATTGTTATTTTATTGCTATATGGCAGAAGGCAGAGAGGAGCAATTTTCCCTCCTGTGGTAGAGATTGAACTCAGGGGTTACACTGGGCTACATTCCCAATTTTTTTTTTTTTAATTTTTAATTTTGAGACAGTCTTGCTTTATAGCTAAGTTCCATAGGTTGGGCTTCAACCTTGAATTCTCCTAGCTCAGCCTCCTTGAACGCTGGGAATATATTCACGCATCATCACACTTGGAAAAGAGAGGGCAATTTCTTCCACCAGAATTTTGGGGTAAATAAAGGCCAAAATGAGAGGCACAGACACTTGAGGATATGACAAGATGTTGTGTGCCAAAGCCTCTACAATGAAGGAGTGTCCAGAGACCAATGGGAATGGCTGCTGATTTTAATTTCTAAGTAAAATTTGTAAATGAAGGATGTGCTCACACCAGAATCAAAGAACTAAAAGATGGTCAGCTTATTTGCTATTAATAAGCATCCCAAATGAATGTTAGGAAGGAGGATATAGTCAAGGTCATGCTATACCTGTAGTTTTGGAGAAAGGTGGATAGACTGTGTGTGATGGGAAGTTGCAGAGGCACCCACAGGCAGACTGGGAAAAAGGTATCGTGTCCCTTCTGTGGTGGAGGCACACAGCAGCTGAGTCACTGTTAAAACAGGCACAGAAACGAACATGTTAGCTAATATATAAGAGCAAAATATTTACCAGTTAACTGAACAGAATTCTTGAATTTTCATCCCAATACTAAATATTGAGCATGGGGGACTTTATTGTCAGAATATAGCTTTAATGTAGCAATACCTATGTTATTTTCAGATTTAACAGTAGGATGCTGGAAAGATAGCTCAGTGGCACATCCTGCCTGGCAAGTGCAAGGACCTGAGTTCGATCCCTGGTACCACTTGCTATTCCAGGTGTGCCATGCCAGACCCCGAAACTGCATGTAGTGGCACATGCCGGTAATCTCAGCCCTGGGGAGGCTGAGACAAGAGAATTACTAGGTGTCCAAGCTGCACAGTGAGACCCTGTGCCATAAATAAATAAAGTAAAAGATTTTTAAAATTAAAGAAAAAATACAGGCTACAATGGAAAAAAGACTAAAGAGATTATTTTAATCATCCTTTGTTACCTTTTAGAAGCTCAACTGTAATATCTGAAGGCCTTATTTTCATTTGCATTGAATCTTATTTGTTTCACATGTCAATTATAAATACCAAAAATATGTTATTTAATGTTAATTTACTTTTTTTTTTTTTTTTTTCCAGAATTGGGGCTTGAACTCAGGCCCTTGTGCTTGCCAGGAAAGTGCTTATTCTACTGAGCCATCTCCCCAGCCCTCAAATTTACTATTTTTTGTGTCACAATATCTACACTTAGGAGTATTTTTAGGCAATGGATAACTAACAATGAGAATGTTATACACAGACATTAAATATGGGGCATGAGGACTGGCGAGATAAACTTAGCAGACTGAGCATTTGCTTAGGCAAGCATAGGGGCTGGGGTTCGATCTGCGGCACCACGTGCCACGCCAGCCCAACCCCTGGGGGCACTGAGCCGGCCACTGAGTCCAGGCATAGTGGTGCACACCTACAATTCCAATGCTGGGGAGGCTGAACACAGGAGGATCACTATGAGTCTGAGCTGCGTAGTGAGACCCCGCGCGCACGTGCACGCACACACACACACACACCCCACAAAATATAAAAATAAAAATAAGAAAATATTGGGCATGTTCAATTTTATCCATTTCACTAGTTGCTGTTTTAAGGCGACAGAAGGCATAATGTTTTTTGTTTTGTTTTTGTTTGGTTTTTTTGGCGGAACCAGGGATTGAACAGAAGGCATAACGTTTAAAGTTGGTGAGATATCTAAGTATAACTGTAATTCAAATTTCTGGTCAAGTTGCCTAATTTTTTTCAACTGTTTTCAATTTCTTTTAAAAAATAACATTAAGTTGTTAGATCTTACATTATGCAGGCAAAAAAATCTTTGATGTTTTATTAGATAATAAAAGCATGTGTGTTGGATTTTGAATTAGATCAAGGTATATAACTTTACTCTAAGCTTTTGTAAATGGATAAGGGAGGAAAGGTTGAAGGCAGGGTAGTGGAATGGGGAAAAAAAGAACCAAGTTATATCATATACTGGTACGAATTCTCAATGATAAATGTGATCATCATGCATATGTAAAATGTACCAATAAAACCTAATCAGAAAAAAAAGCTTAGTTTTAATCTGTTTTTTACACAAGTAACAATTATCACATATTTACTTAACTTTTTTTGTGTGTGTGGTGGAACCAGGGATTGAACTCAGGCCCTTGCGCTTGCCAGGTGAGTGCTTATTCTACTGAGCCATCTCCCTGGCCCCTTTACATTATTTTTATCGAAATATAGTGATGAGTTGCGTCTTTAGCTATGCTCCTGTGGCTGCCTCTGTATACTGAATATACTCAAAACATTTACCTTTCATGGTCATTTTGGCTTTAGAGAACAGCCAGAAATTGCAGTGCCACGTCTGGTGAATAAGGTGGATGAGAACGCACCACCATGTTTATACAAGCCTGACTTTCCATTCAAAGGCACCCAGAAGCAGCATTAGCTGTATTATTCACCACATCTTATACAGACACTCAAAAAAGACTCCCAGGGCCAGGGAGATAGCTCAACAGAATAAGTGCCTGCCCAGCAAGCACAATGTCCTGAGTTTGACCTCCAGTATCAAAAAGAAAAAACAAAAAAGACTTCCAGAACTACTTCAGAGTGGCAAAATGATGGGATAAGTGTGTTTAAAGTAAGAGGGAGGATTCGAGGAGGGTTAATGCCAATGTGCCTTTTCCTGTAATAAGTTTGGTGGTTTTTTTTAACATTTATTTATTTATTTATTGTGTGTGTGTGTGTGTGTGTGTGTGTGTGGCCAGCTCAGCCCACCAGGGGGCGGGGCTGGCTGGCATGTGGTGCTGGGGGATCAAACCGTGGTCCCTGTGCTTTCCCAAGCTTGTTCCAAGTAGGTGCTTTAGGGGGCCTGGCCCTAGCTCAGGCCTTTAAGTGGCTGCTTCCACAAAGCTGTCAGCCTCAGGTTGCTGGAGTTCGAACCTCACACCTCTCCCGCTGGCCAAAAGTGCCCTGAAGGCATTCAAGGAACAAAAAAAAAAAAAAAAAATCCTTAGGGGGCCTGCCCGGTAGCTCAGTTCTTTAAGTGGCTGCTTCAACAAAACAGTCAGGCTCAGGTTGCTTGGGTTCGATCCCCACAACACAATACAGCCAGTCATGCCTTGAAGGCATTCGGCGTAAAAAAAAAAAAACAAAAAACAGTTCTGCCAAGTAGGTGCTTTAGACCATTGAGCCATCTCACCAGCTCCCATGTAATAAGTTTTTCATAGAAACATTTATCACATATTTTGATCACAGCACATAATCTATTTAATCACATTGCATTATTTTACATTAGTACCTAAATGTGATCTAGAAGCTATTTTATTTTATTTTTTTGGCGGAACCGGGGATTGAACTCAGGCCCTTGTGCTTGCCAGGCAAGTGCTTATTCCACTGAGCCATCTCCCCGGCTCCTAGAAGCTATTTTAAATTAGTACCCCACCTATCAGTACCATTACATTGCGTGACATAGTATTTATTTTTTAACATAATTTCAAATTCCTTTATCCTTTGGGTTAATGACTATCTTAAATTGTAGTCTCTCTCTCTTTTCAATTTTTTTTCTCCTTTTGTTTCAGGCTTTTAGGTACTTGAAGCACAGGCAGTTAGTTTCTGTCCCTGGCTGATAAGAAAAGAGGGGCCTCCCATCACTAGAGAGATTGAGGCAGGAGAATATAGATTTTCAAGTCAGTTTAACTACAAAAATTGGAAAAAGAAAAAAAGAAGGCGGGCTGGTGAGATGGCTCAGTGGTCTAAAGCACCTACTTAGAACAAGCTTAGCAAAGCACAGGGACCGCAGTTCAATCCCCCAGCACCACATGCCAGCCAGCCCCACCCCCTGGTAGGCTGAGCTGGCCACACACACACACACACACACACACACACACACACAAATAAATAAAAAATTTTAAAAAAGAAAGAAAAAAGAAGGTGGTAGCTGTAGCCCAGTGATAGAACACTGCTTAGAATGCGTTAAGACTGTGGGTTCCATACCCCGCACCACGACCACCCCTCACTGCCCCCCCCTAAAAAAAAAGCAATGGACAAAAACCAAGTTGACAAACAGGCGCCTCATGGCAACTTCTTGGGATGGTCTCTTGTCTTTTGGATAGTCAGTCACTCCTTTTACCCCTTTTTAAATTTCGCTCCAGAAGAATCCTTCAAAATACCATCTCTAAGCACTAAAATTTTTCTGTGTTTGAATACTGGGCCAAAAGGTCCTACTGGTCCTGAGCAAGCACCCTCAAAGCAACCCCAGAGGGTTGAGGTCCACATCCCAGAGAGCACAAGTATTCTGCGTTTGTATCTGCCTTGCTGTTACTTCTGCAGACACTACCATCCAACAACTCAGCAAATGTGTCACCTGCATTCATGGCCCACATTTATGGCCCTCACAACACTGACTCTAGACGCCCTTTCACTCAGTCACAGCAGATCCCTGCAACCAGCTGGTCTGATCAGATATCTGTCATGTACTCAAGTAGCTCATGAAAACAAAAGGTAGAAACCCTTACTGAAAATTCAGCTACCTGCCAACAGGGACATAACCCTCTCAAAGGAAAGGGTCTATCTCTGGAACAGATTGCTATGAATCAGAAAATTCTATAGTACTACTCCCCATAATGAGAACATACAGCTCCAAAAACTGGTAAGCTAGTGCAGAAGTGGATCTGGTGACAACATTTTTGCAGAACCGGGGATTAAACTCAGGCCCTTGCATTTGCCAGGGAAGTGCTTATTCCACTAAGCCATCTCCCTGGCCCCTGGAGACAACGTTTTTGCTTCTGATCTCAGCAATCAAAAGCACTGCAGGTTTAAAGATCTCTTACTCCCTAAAGATGAGGCTATAGTTATGTTCCCAACACACTGTAAAGCAGGACAGCTGATTTGGACCCCTCATACCACTAACTTAAGAGATAGGGAAAAGGGCGGTTAATGCACTGGCTGGGGTGACATTACAACTGGAGTACTCTATATAACATTAGAGTAGTCTACACTTTGTGCGCTATACAGAGTACTCTATACAACATTACAACTGGAGTACATTACAACAGAAGCAAGGAGGACGGAGTGACACCCAATATAACAAGTTGTATGGTAAAGTTTAATGGAAAATTACAACTGAAAAAGGGCAGGACAATGAACAAAGGAATGGGAAATGAAGTTTTGAGTCACTCAACCAAGGTGGAGAAGCCACAGCAGCTAAGGGTGTGGCTGCGGGAAAGAGAAATAATGGGACTATTCACTGATGGAGAAAACTTTTCACATAAGCCACACCCACAAAGCCTATTACAGAAACAAAAATTATGGTAGGGGTGTGTGTGTGTGTGTGTGTGTGTGTGTGTATTTTACTGTATTATAGGCATTTGTTTTTTATGCCAGTATTTATTCACATAAACTAACCATTTGGGGGGGTCAGCCAGACAGCTCAGCGGATTAAAGCACTTGCTTAGGCAGGTGCAGAGACCAGGGCTCATGGGGCACATGG